CCCGTTGTTTATCGCACCGGCCATGGAATTATCATCATCCTGCTGTAGAACCACATTTCTAATGTCTCCAGTTTTCTCCTCATCCTTCAGGAGACTGCCAAGCATTCACTCGTCTATCAAAGGATAGATATGACATATCTATCCAGTTCTCCTTTCTTTGTTTCTAAGGAAATTCCTGTGTTTTACAACTTTGTGCTTAGCCTTTGGAATGCCACTTCTGCTTGTGCAATGCGTGTTCGGATATTAATGTCGCATTTTCTATCTTCTGTTAAAACACTTTGAGGGTAAGAAGAGGAGTGAGATTCTCAGGGATTTACACGTATTAAGCGTACATGATTTGAATAAAAGTTAATATTTAGGTAACAGTGTATCAAGTTTGTCAACTCCTAACGAAGTAAAAAAAAAGGAAAAGAAACTACTGCATCTCTAGCAATTTTCTTCTTTTTTCCTTTCAAGAAGAATTTTATAGGCTAAAAATGAAAAAAAGAGTAAAACAAAATTTTAGAATGAAAAAGCGTTAAACAGGAAATTTAACACATCTTGCTAGTCAGAAAGTTAACATCTACTCATGAGATGCAATACTGGAGAAGGCATTAACTTCTTTCACCTGCATTCTTGCTGCTCATGCTGAAGACGATAATTTTTCTTCATTCATTTTACTTCTCGCTTCTCTCTCTTTCTCTCTCACACACACATACACACGTAAACACAGACAGGCAGACAGACACACACACACATATATATGCAGGTAATATGAGGACATAATAATTATATGTTACGTTCGTAACATAATTTAAAAGAGGACTCAAAACTAATTAGAGCAATATTCTTTAATTTACGATATTACAATCGAAAAACATGTCAAAATCGCTACAGAAAGGGTAGGTAGTCAGAGCCTGTAGTCGTAGTTAGAGAAACTGGTGATGGTTCCACTGTTGCTGGCACCGGTATCTATTATGAATGTAAACGTTTTTGTCCCCAACGTTGCTGGTATCTGCAATAATGACAGACATGGTGGGGAGGATGTCGTCGTCCTCCCAGTTAGATTCCCGCTTCGTTTGTCGCTGGTTAAAATGGGTACGCACATGGCTGTTGTATAAAGTTTCTTTTTTTTGTTTGTCATTTGCAACAACGTACACGTGATCGCGCCGCTTTAGCTTAATAAATGTATGCACTACATATTTTTTGTAATTATCCCTTTTGGAAAGTTTTGAGACCGTATAGTATTGCTGAGGTTTTAGTAAGCACTTCATCTGAATTTGGTTACACGTGCTTATTTTAGCAATGCCTTCTATTAGGTTGGTGCAAAAATAATGGCGTTTTTTGTCGTTCAACTTCAAAAGATCATAACTCCTTTCATAATAAACTTTATTAATCGAAAGAACCATTAGAATTGACACATTTTTGCCAACGAGAAACAAGTTTATTTATCCCATTAGCATAGAAATCCGGAGTTCTGGAAGCGATGAAGTCATTGAAGGCCGATTCGGCATCATTTCGGCTTTGGAAGCATTTTTCGCGCAGGAAGTTGTCGAGATGCTTGAAAAAGTGATAATCGGTGGGTGAGAGGTCCGGTGAATATGGCGGATGAGGCAGAGTCTCGTAGCCCAATTCGTTCAGCTTCTGCAGGGTCAGTTGAGCAACATGCGGGCGAGCGTTGTCATGGAGGAGAATTGGTCCTTTCATATTGACCAATCTTGGGCACATACGTTGGAGATTCTGGTGCATTTTGTCAATTTGTCGGCAGTACTTCTCCGCCGTAATCGAGACCGGCCGCAGACCACCAAACAGTCACCATAATCATTTTTTTGGTGCAATTTCGGCTTCGGGAAGTGTTGTGGGGCTTCTCTGGCATCCAACCACTGTGCCGAACGTCGCCGGTTGTCGTAGAGTATCCACTTCTCATCACACGTCACAATCCGCTCGAGAAATGGGTCGTTTTTGTTGCGCAGAAGGAGCGTAGAAGACCCCTCAAAACGACGATTCTTTTGATTATCGTTCAATTCATGCGGCACCCATTTATCCAACTTTTTTGACTTCCCTATTTGCTTTAAATGGCCAACGACTGTTGAGTGGTCGATCTCGAGTTCAACAGCAACTTCTCGTGCGGTCTTGCGAGGATCGGCTTCAATTAAGGCTTTCAAATGTTCGTTATCAACCGCAGTCGGCCGGCCGCGACCGTCTTCATCTTCGAGGCTCTCGTCACCATTGCGAAATTTCTTGAACCACCGCTGTGCCACACGTTTGTTAGTGGTTCCTGGGCCAAACGCATCATTGATATCACGAGCTGTCTCGGCAGCTTTTCGGCCTAGTTTGAACTGGAACAAGAAAATCATGCGGATTTGAATTTTGTCCATGCTGTCGAAAAGCCTAGAAAAAGTGAATGAAGAGATTGAGAATGGTAACGAATAACACGATTCGATAGAGCGAAAAACGCGCTTCAAAATTATATATAACATGGCTATATATATCAATGAATTAATTCAGAAATCATATATAAATGTAACATATGTGAGAAAACGACATTATTTTTGCACCAAACTAATAATAAAGGAATTAATTCATAGGCCAATTTTCCAAGCCTGGTCGCATTTAAATCTTTTTTTTTGTTGCGAAAAAAAGTGCGATGAAAGACGGTAATGCTTGTAAAATCTATGTAACCCCATGTCGTTCCGTATCCGCAGGCTTTTTGTAACTGACAACATTTCCTGAAGGTAAATTGGTGATCAGCCAGTACTAATGGAGGTGGACATTAATTTATCTAGCAGTTCTGGCTTCGTTTGTTCATGTGTATCAATTAAAGTCTTTTTAACTCATCGTTGTTGTGAGTATCCAGAATGTTGCTAGGTTATTTCGCCACTATTTCCGGAGGTAGAGACGCTATAAGATTATAAAATTTGGTGATTTGGGAAGTTACGTTTCGCAGATAGAATTGGGATTCAATAATTGTGAATCAATTGTTAATGTTAGTCTGCATGAGTTTAGATATCTTAATTGTTATATGTTGGAGAGTCGGCTCGTGATGCACTTATTCCATTTTGTTTTTTTTTTTTATATATATATATATATATATATATATATATATATATATATATATATTGGAATTCACCAAATATGTAGTTATCAAAATGTGTTTACTTTCTTGTTCATTGTGGTTACCAAATATGGGGTCAATTAAAATGTGTTTATTTTTCGTCGTGGTCACCAAATATGGTGGTTATTAAAATATTTTTTGTTCTTTTTGGTCATCAAATATTTTGTATGTGGAATGAAACATACGACAACATAATTGACATGAAAATTTCAAATAAAACACAAGTTTTCGGATACAAACACTTGCATATAAAAGACTACGTACATGAATTTTTGTACTTATCTGTTTGGTTTTTCACGAGCCTGAATACATGCGCCCTGTTTGTATAATTTCACGGAATTAAAAGAGAGAGATTGATTTTCCTGCCTAACGATGTCTCGAGCGGATTTAGTCAGTAAGGTGACTGTTTTTTAATTAATTTTTATTGCTATTTTTGGGGGTCAAGATTAAGTTGGTTAATGCTTCTATAATCCTTGCCTTTAGTTCGTCTTTAGTTTTACAAAGAGTTTTGTTGGCCTCTCGCTCAGCTGCACCCCGTGTATAATAATCAAGAGGGTTATAGTTTTAGCAGTTAGGTCACCAAATGTAAGGAGTGAAGTGTTCCCAGAAATTGTCTGGCAGTCATGATTGGGTTCACCTGCTTGTCTGGCATGATGCAGACTCCTGTTGTCATTCATAGTGTCTTCCAGCAGCCACCCTTTTGACCCATGGCTGCACTTCCTTCTCAAAGCTCTTGATGTACGCCTCTGTGTTGAGACGAATGGAGGCATGACGTCGCCACCACTAGCGATTACGCCAAACACGATGATGTTGACTGGATATTTGGTTTGTATCACTCTCGTTACATTTTTTGGGGACAGAGCATTCTTTGCACTGATTTTAGGTTGACACTCAAACATTCTGAAATGTTCTTATTAAAGCTTCCGGTGCGAATGCCAAGCAGTACAACATACCGTTTCCAAATTTCTGGCGGAGTGAATTGCGATATGGTGCTCTTTTTCTCACAGGCAGTGACCCTACTATACTTTGCAGTCGACAAACTCCGAAACAAACAATGCGCATGCACGAAATTAAAAATATAAAATGGCGACAAATTACCCATCGTACCCTATATATGTATTTTCAGGCAGCATATCTTCATTCAAAATGTTTCATTGAATAATATAGGCATATTATGTCTATTTATTTTTATAATAATCCTTTCTAGTTCTCTAACCAGTTTCTTGAAATTAAGATGAAATTCAACAAGGAAGGCGCCGTAGTTTTTTACTACCCAAGCACTTTCGATCTCCTCCGAGATCATCTTCAACGGGTGAACTACAAACATGAAACTTATTGTAACTGTGATCGTTGTGATAGTGATTTTTAAAAACACGCGTGAATCCGGTCTGTTATAATTAGTTTAATTTTTTTAATTTATCTATTGTAGGTTGATTATATTTTACAAAACAAGAATCCCAATATAAAGGGAAAAATAGCATTAAATGCACTGCAACACTTTGTTGCTACATTCGTAATAAATTTTCTTGAGTAGTGGTTGTATGCTTTTGATATATATATATATATATATATATATATATATATATAGACCACCAACTCTCCAGTATAAAAAGGTAACATAAATTTTGAGTGAAAGCAGCGTGGTTCCAAGAATAGGATTAATTTCGAGTACATTCATTTGGATAATTCATAATATATTATTAACTATTAAGCTTTTAACTTTATAAGTTGTGATATCCCCTATCACAGTAAAATCGACCTTAGTGAATCTGGGTCGTCGGTGAATCTTGTAAGACACAACTGCAGTTGCAACGGCAGTAGCGGTGGCAGCAGTGAAATTTCATATCTCTTTCTAATCGAGACGACCTCGAACACAACAACGAAGTTTGGCGAACAGAAAAGTGCGATGGCGTCCTCGCAACGTCACCATGAAAAAGGGGCAATCTGCTGGTCCTGCGTCCTTGGCCGAAACAAAGCGACGGTGGCGCGACAACGTATTTGCAACCACCAAACCCGCCCGCCAGGGAAAAGCGCGCTAGTTCGAATTCGAGAAAATCACACCCTCTTTGGCAGACATCACTCCAGATCCCAACACACTTTCTCACCGTCTACTTCTGTTTGTCGCACATATTCAAAATATTCTTCTTTTTGTATCGCACTTTGTGGCAGACAAGGTTTACTTATTTGTTCAACCATTTTAGCATAATTTTAGTATTCAAAATTTAAATGTCTCGGAAAGAAGCTAAGTACTCCAGCGATTATTAGTACAGATCAGTAAAAGAAAGTGTTTTTTGACGGAAACATTTTTTGTTTTTACCATTTCATACATTTCTATGTTTAACATAATACCCCAGCCATTGTCACCGTCGGCATTCCAAAAGAACCGTCGACTGCAATAACCTCATTGTTTTCTATCGAAATCTTGAGTTTATTTCCTGAGTCAGGTAGTGCAAAAATATGTAACGGTTCATTATAGAGGCATATCGCCATCAGAATTGCGAATTCTGAAATCTCCCAAGGAGATCGGATATGACAAAAAAAAAAAAACAAACAAACAAAAAAACAAAACAAAAAACAAACAAACTGAAAAAAAGGAACCGCCGTGAATGTACTGAATGGTTTTGTTTCACATTGTAAGAAAGCTAGCTTATGCGACAGATACTTTACGGATGCCCAAAGGCACAGCAACCGAAATGATGTAATAACGACAACTAAAACGAGAAAACAGATCCGAAAGAACCATTGTATCATAAGAAAGTACTTATAGCAAATTGAATCTTAATACCGACGAACAAAATGTGGCAAAAATTATTTTCATTATTTTTTTCTTGTGTCACTTATTTTCTTTCTGCAAACAAGAACAAGTAAAGGCTGTTTTTTTATAGATATATATATTAGAGAAATGCACCGAATGAACTCAGGTGAGAAGATTAGGAAATTAATTTTGCTCAATGGTTTCAGTGACGGTCTTGACAATTTTACTAATGAAATTCGTTGCAACTTTATTCTAACTAATCATATTTTAATAAAAGCGGTTTACATTCACATCAAAGATCTGTGATCTCCTCAAATATCCATTTCTCACAGGATTTTACACATGTCACTATCTACTTTGTCATATTTCTTCTCTCCACCTCTGTCTCCGTCTCTCTGTAATGTTTTTTTTTATCTCATAATTCTTGTTGCCGCAATTATCAATAGATATTTTCTCCTAAGGTTTTTCAATAAAAACCAAATAAAATTACCAAAGTTTCGATGAAAAACATCGTTGAATTGTTTATAAATACCTTATATATTGTCAGTGCACATGGAAACAATATATTGTGCGGCTAATGTAACGTTTAGAGGTTCTGGAAAGGAAATCGATGAACCGTAATTTTTGTTCGAATTCCGATAGAGTTCTTTACATTCGCTACATTCCCTTTCGCACAAATACCCTTGTGGAGTGTATAGATCCATCTGTTCTACCTCCAGCGATTGGTTATTAGGGGAAAACTAAACTCTCTATCCGTGGGTAGAACAGGCCTTGCAGAAGAAAAATGTTGAAATCAAAACAGATAGCCGTGATGAGGTGCATATTATGCAGCTTTTTAAAGGGTTATAGAGTTCAGGATTAATTGCGTTGTGGGGATGCCGAGATCTCGACTGAGGGTGAATAAAAATACAATATCAGCGATTAAATGTAGTAGCATCAATTTATGCAATTTTATGAAAACTTTCTAAATATTAGTCAGAATTTCTCACAAGTAACCAGGCGACCTGAGAAACTCAATCATATAAAGGGAAATTTGTAACACATTCTGTTATCTGTGCCGCCAATTGACACAAGAAAATGGAAACTAAGAACGTAGAAGCCTATGACTCGCATCCTAATCAAAGCGTTTTTCTTGCACCATTAAACTGTATAAAAAATTTCATATATCAACGTTGCAAACTACTACTTGATAGTGAATTCGTTTAAGTTTCCCGCCGCATCCTGAAGTAACAGAAGCGCAAAGCAAATTAACTGAAACTAAATTCTACCCTCGAGTAATGCATAATTTTGCTTTTTCATGAAATAACGTTTTTTCCGACTTCATTCTTGTTTGTTCACAGATTTTCTTCATTTGATTCGAAAAAGCGTCCCTGAAAAAATAAAAAAGAGAAACAATTAAATTTTAACTGTCATTGGTTTAACAGAAACAAAACTCGCTTTCCATTCAGAAAGAAAAAAAAATACTATTTTGTTAAAATAAATGGAAATCAAATAAAATATGAACGTAATTATTGTGCTCTTCACAGCTGTAATAATTCATGCATTTGGAAATTGATGGCATATAATTTTACATTATAATATGCGTAGCTCGGCACGTGAGCAGCTATTATATGTTTGTTACGCTGTTTTCCTTAAAGTTATTTGATATTTTATATTTTACAATTGTAAAAACAGATTTATCAGCACCTGATTTACTTTGAGACTCTTCAATAAAATTCAACCATCATATAAAATACACGAAGCTTGAAGTTGTGATGTCATACTAATCTGCTTCGTATTTGTAGATTATCAGAGACACATGTCCGAAGTGTCATTTAGTAAGAGTTTCTTATTCACTTATTTTATTCGAATTAGATTTTCGTCATCTATTATAACTTTTAAAGATGTTCATTTATTTATTTTGAATGCACATATCCCCAGTAAATGTAGAATGCAGTCTATTATTTGGGAGTCTATTATTTTATGTTGGAAGAACTTTGTAAAATATTTGGCATCTGGTAGAAGTGAGTGAATTTCTTTTTTGAACAACGGAATTTTCTCGAAGACTATAATATTTCTTCGAAATGTTTAATTTACAAATTGTAGTTTTTGTTTTGTTCACTAAAGTCAAACTTTTGTTAAGCCCATGTTTTATGCTTGTAGACAATGTTTTGTCACCGCAAAAGTTGCCCTAATATAACGGCCCAAATCCTTCAAAGTATTGATATAGGAAAGTAGTTCATACTTTGTTGAATATAAAATACGATTTCTCTTACTTTCTTCGGATATTTAACGTTTCCGTGTCGGAGGTTTTTCATATACTTATTCCTTATTTCTAATCTGTGTTTCTTTGATAAAAGTGTACAGATTCGATTGTTCCGATATACATGTGACATCCTTATTAAAGTGTTCTTATCCAAAGCTGAACTTGCTCGTTATCGAATATCTCATGAACGTAGGAAATTCCATGCAAATTATGTTGACAGCCATTCCAAAAGAACTGGCAGAGAGTTTATGTCATTTTCGTGACAAAGAATGTGGACCAGTAGCAGAGTTAAAGTGTTATATGAGACGGCATAAGGACCAGATATACTTTAAGACAACATACAGATCTTTCGTCATGCCATATACACAGGAATGCTTGCAGTAGTGAAGCCGACCTTTAGCAACACTTACCTGTTCCTGACCGCTCAATCCAAAATTGAAGAGATGAACTTCTTTTACCACGAAGTGCCACATTTCCTGTTTCTAATCTGATGAACGCGTTAATAGAATGTGGACAAGTTTAAATTCTTAAAGTAGAATTGGAATAAAATGGCGGACGGTCAAGAGAGCAGGAAATGGTTGAGTTAACGGCTTACTCTTCAGTTTCTTATTCACTTACTCCATAACTACTGGGGGAGAAAAAAAACTGATATATAGTAACTGTTGCACTTCGGCATCGGTATTTCAGCGCAGGTACTATCTAGGCTGTCAAATTCCAATGCAGACAGGCTTGCTCTACATGCAGTACTGGCGCAATATAATCTTATCGTCATCGATTCCTCCATTTAGATTTGGACAATACTAACCTAAGTAAAGGGAAGAGAGAGAGAGAGAGAGAGAGAGAGAGAGAGAGAGAGAGACAGAAAGGGGAGCGAGGATAAATAATACACAAACATCTAAAATGATATACAGACTTTTCAAAAATCGAAAATCATTACTACCGTAGTGTGCTCAATCTGGACTAAGTGTCCAAACTTTGTTGCTTTCTGTCAAGGATATTTGTCAGCGCGTCCACGCCGCTACTGAATGTAACACAATGTCGAGGTTTAAAATGAGTTTAATACCAATACCGTGAACAAAATTTCTAAGCCACCTCGGCATCTCCCATTTCGGGGACACCTCAGGGGCCGGGTAAAAAAATAAATAAAAAATAACAAAAGACGCAGCCCCCTCCTGAAGGCGAGGTAGTGCCTGAGGGAAAGGTACACCCCTGGAATTGGGTTTAATATTTTTTGAAACTTCTCCGCATAGGTTTTTACCTACAGCCGGGACGAATTTGTTGCTTTCTGGTAATATTTTCAAGTACACCTAATAAATAATAAGGTATCATATATAGTGTGATGTTTGACAAACTTGTCTCTCAAAGTCAATTTTCTTGTGTTTAAACCTCCTTTGCTGCTTCATATCCTTGTTCTTGCATCAGATTAAGCAATAAGTAGTGAAATTGCCTTTCAGATTATTCCGAAGATGAAATGAGGTTGTGAAAGCCTATTCTACTCTTATTAAATGTCTATTAGGTCGATGCTAAAATATTAGGTCGATGCTAAAATATTAGGTCGATGTTAAAATATTAATCGCCATTTTTTAACAAAGCTACAGGAAATAAGACGCAAAAGAGTTAACAGTTTTTTTTTGCTGTTTTCAAACGTTAGAGAAAATCAAAAGCAAGAAAATAGTTTTATGTGAACGGAAAAGACATTTGAGACGAGATATTAACTTGCAATGAAAAATAAAGTTATAGAAGGATCCAAAACGAATAAAAAATAATGGCTGGAACCACGACAGTCTTTAATATTTGAATATAAACGTAATCGAGTTGGAGAAAATATTTCTGTGTTTAAGTGGATTCCAAGGATATACTGTGACAGGAGAGAACGTGGTGTCTTGTATGGGACAACTGGAATATCTAAAGGTTAAGAATCTTCTCTGAAGATGACGCAGGATTTCTCTTTATAACATTCCATGGGTTAAGAGAGAAAAGAAGAGTGACAAAAGTTTGGGCTTTTAACTTTTATATTGTTTTATACAACGCCACCTAGAGTACTTTAGGGAAATTCCTCTGGCAGACAAGATGGCATAAACCTGCATAGAAATAATGAGACATTCTGGGAAGTGTGGGTCTCTTTTATATGATTATATAACTTAGGTATACATTTCTGGAATGAGGAGTTATGATTATTTATTTACAATTAGAATAATGTCGTTATTATGATAGCAGAGAAAAGAAAAGCTATCAAAAAGTATAATATTTATTATTATGAGAGACTTCTATAAACAGTTTAGATTATTAGCTGAATATCACTAAAAAAAACCCCAAAAAAAACTGTTTTTCTATGGCGTTTTTAAAATTCCATGGGAATGACTAGGTATATCCTATTTCAATTTCCATTTTGCTCATATTCTATATTGACGCATTGGCAGTTTGATCTTGGTTTTTCAAAGCGGCAACTTTAGCGATTTATTGTATCTTGACAATCATAACTTTAGGCTTGTTCATTCTAATAATGTTCTCGGCTGCTGCTAGTACAAATTCTATTTTCATCTTTAGGTGTTTACCCCTTTCCTTCTGGAATATTTTTCTTCTCTTGAATTCTCCAATATACGGTTTCTTTTCTTTCTTTCCATTCGTCGCACTCTCTATACTGCACCGTATGTAGCCTACACATTCTTTGAGAGTCAAATAGCCAGTCTTCAATGTTATCTATTCGCGTGGAAGTTTTCCTTTCAAATGTGTCTATTATTGGTCATTTATATTCTACTTCTATGGATGTTTCTCTTGTATAGTTTATAAAAGGTTTCTTCCGAATATTTTAAAATGGATAATGATCATAAGTTTATGGCTCTGACAAGATCTCTTCTTTCCTGCAAACTCTTCTTTGTTTATTTGAACTATTCTTTACCATTTCTTTTAATTCGTTATATTTTACTGAATTGAATTCCATCCTTCCCCAATAATTCTATATCTTCCCTCCCCTAATGATTTCTTTAATCGAATTCCTTTCTTGATTTCTGTTTTCTGTTCTGCATCACTGACTATTCATATTTTTCAATTCCAAATTTCATTCCAATGTTGTGAAATGTTTCTTCTTTTTTTTATTAGTTCGTGTTCATCATATGGTTGGATTTATCGGATAAATGAATAAATTTGTATATGCTAAACAATAAAGTAACTTTTATCATCCTATTCCTAGATTGCCAGCAAAGTCTCATCATTTTACAGTTAAAATGGTTAAATGTAACCGTAAGTTCTAGGTTAACAATTTTTTTCCTTCGTACTTCTCGCTTGTGGAAAGTATCTTCTTACTTTTTGCTTTCCAGTCAACACTTGACTTTAAAAATTTAAATGCAATGTTAATCGTTATCTCATGTTATATTCTTATTCTTTTATTGTTTTCTCTATTTAATAATATTTTTTCCTTTTCTCAGATTCTTCGTACCTTTATTGCTTTGGTTTGGGTGGAATTATTAAAATATTGCGAAATGTAATGACTATAGTGGGTGTCTTTTATATTAATCTCACCTACAGATTTGTCTCTTACAGTCAGATCAAGCATGAGATTCTTCATTGCATAAAATTCCAATTCCCGAGCATTTTGTAGTTCTGAAGTTAATTTACCTTCTAAAATCCAGTAATTAAATATCATTTTCTAAAGTTTTTCTCCGTCATTAGATTCTGTTCCTTGATTTTCCTGCTTGTTTTCCTTCATTTAGAACATTTTTATCAGTAAATAATAGATTATTTGTCGTTCAGTTGCTTCTCTGCATTTTCTCTGCTCATCATATAGAATTCATTGGTTTTCTAATGAATAAAACATTTTCCACTATGTTCTGTTAATGATTTGTACATCAAAGGCTACAATGTTATGTAATTACTTTCTCTTATTCCTTTTAGAGCACTGATTGTATCAGGACAGTTTGTCTTGTCAGGCAGTCTAAAATCACCGTGTGAATCTGCTGAGACATAATACAGAACACTATTGAAATCTAGGATTTGGGTCATCGTTTTAGATAGCTGCTGTTAATAAATTCGGATGTAGTGAAAAATAGTTCACAGTATAGCTTATCTAGTTTATTGACCAAAGAAAATAATTTATTCACCGTAATTCTCGAAGTCGTTTTCAAATCCCACTAGACTATAAATTATTGCCAAAAATCAAACAGAATATCATCTTTTTCTATCCGTAGCAGTTAAGGAGCTCGAACCGGGGCGATTTTGGCAAAAAGTTGTTCCTTTTTAACTTTTAGTCCTTATATAAAGAGTATTCGTAAAATCTAGATACATATTTTCAACAACATTTTATTGAATTAAAACATTAACAAATAACATATTCAATATGAATTCCCTCATTTATGATGCAAAGTTTGATGCGCTTTGCAAGATGCACGTGGACTCGATGCATTAACTTCACATTAACTTCAATTTTAACACATTATGCGTTCAATCAAGTGTGTTGAATCTGTAATTTTCATTGGTCACAACTTCTCCTTTAGCATACCCCAGAAAAAAACGAATTACTTCTTCTTTTGACAAAACCATGTTTAATATGTGGAGGTAAAAAATACAGTTAATGAGATTTCATGTTTCCAGACTTTATAGACACCCTGTATAGACAAAATAGTTTTCTTATACGAAACTTTATTATAGACTCTGTAAAAATCAGGATTCTTTCTACGAGAATGAACAGTTCTACTTTAACAAATTTGTGTCTAGAAACAATTACAGTGAATGTATATATCTGTTATCTTTTCTCATTGTTATAAAACACATTTGTTATGTATATAGTCTGGCTGTTTTCTTCCTTCCAAATCACGTTTTTCGTTGAGCATGTTAATACCTACGACAAACAATAAGTCTGTTATCTTGTGGATATTTGAAACATATTCATCAGATTACATCGTCTTCTGGTGCATTCAATTTTACGCATAGTACTTTGGAAAATGTAAATTAATTTGTATACAATGTCTGGAGAATTATCTTTCTTTTTTCCGCAATATCTTATTTCATATTGTTTACGTATATTTTATGTTCCTATCTGTGCTAACCAGTTGCTTTAGTAACAGCGAGTAAATGTTAAATTGGAAAGAAAGACCTGTCACATTCAAAAAAAATATGGAAAAGAGACGAATTATTAATTGAAATTAATCAAGATAAAATTTCCACTCATTATCGATAATATCCTATTTGTTTGGCAAATTGTTGATTTGCCAAACAAGACGGAAAATTCTTTGAGTTTCAATGCAAAGCAAAACTCAACATAACTTTTTAATTAATAAAATGTTTTCATTCTAAAAAGATATTTCAGTGGTATGAAAAGATGATAGCCAGATGAGGAAAGATCAGGAGTGTAAGGAGGATGAGGCGATCAAATGCTCAGCGACACATTGAATAAGTTCATACATTTTTCCATGTTTACGAAGGTGTTTTCTGATCGTGTGACATGTATAGAACTGTTTTGTTTATTTTCGTGTAGCAACCACAGCAGGCGCCCTAAATCTATCATAAAAATTTACTATGTGGAATTAGTAAATAATAACCACTATAAATATCTCGGTGTATGGATCAGTTATAACAAATTTAGTATAGGAGGTAAGGAAATTGAACCTAGAATAGGCTGTGCTAAGAGAGGTTTTGTTCAACACCGTAAGCTAGAAAAGAACAAATCATTACCTTAAGAATGTGAGAATATCATGGGGCGAACATGGAAGAAACGACGAAGTTCGAGAGACAATGACAAGAAAATGACACTTCTGCTTAACACCAGGAAGGAGCAGTTGAAATGCTTGGGGACATAACGAGGAAAGGAGGCTTGGAACGTGTGATACTCACGGAAAAGACTGAAAGCCAGAGGGAAGCAGCGCAAACCTACCTGGATGGTGAAGCAGTATTTCGGACAGATAGCAAAAAGACATCAATTTTAAGGGTAAAAATTTGTGGAGAGCCATGATCACCGACATCCCGAAAGGACACGGCATATAGAAGAAGAAGAAGAAGAAGAAGAAGAAGAAGAAGAAGAAGAAGAAGAAGACGAAGTGATTTTTTCAATTTTTCTAACATTTATTCCATTCTACTGTGCTAGTTGAAGATTTTGACTATTTTCTGAAAGGTATCAAATTTCTTTTCTCATTTTTGACAAAAGCCATCTGTATACAATATATAATTGAGATTATTCCATACCTTATTTTCTTTATAAGCATCTTTACATCCCGAAATATATAATTAGTTGTTACTATTACTTATTACCGTAATGTTGAGAGTGAATCACCATGGAAACGGTCCCGCTGTTGCGGATTGTTTCCTTCAGTTTTCAATTATCTTAGTCAAGAATTTATTGTTTGTAGATTAGAATTCCTTTAGACGTTCCCATACCAAAGGTTATCGGATCAGGTCATAACCTATTATTGAGAGCACTGGGCATGTGTGTAGGGAAAATACCTCAGGGAGTTAAGCGTTTCTGCTTTGCCCATTTCAGTAAAACTCCACAATACGAGCGATGTTAAGATAATCGTGTTGGTTTGTGTATAGCCCGAGGTAGACAAATGTTTCAAAAACAAAACCCAAAAGCCAAATCCGGTTTCGATCCCTGTGGGCCGTGTGAGTCTATCTTTTTATGTCATCTATCCAACACCTCCTCCAATATGGGAATCACTTGTTTAAGCACTTTTTCACTTTAAACTTTTCCAGTACACGGTTCATTATGCTAATTATTTCTTACCAATCTGTCAACTCACAAATTCAATGTCTTGCGGCGATGGACTCGTAGTAAAGCAACAGATGGAAATGACTGCGGGATATAGCAGGCAGAATCCAAACTATAAGCAGCCTTGAGAACAGTAGCCGTTCTATTACTGAAACCAGATCAAGAAGAATGTCCGACAGCGTCCAGCCTATGTAGAATAACACTACTGAAAAGCATAATAGAGCGGGAACAGAAAAAAAGCCAAGAAACAAATGATTACCCTCAACATATCTAACTAGTATGTAGTGGTTAGCGAATGTTACATTGTTCTTTCTTGCTTTAGATTCGTTGACGAGTCGTTGTAATATATCAATATTCGATAAAGTTTACCACAGTTTTTCCGTCATTCTTTTCTTTTAGGGGTAGATACTTAACTATTAATTTTCTCCGTAACTGTTTTTTTCTTTCATCATCATGAGGTGATATATAGAACAGTAATAATTCTAACGCCATAAGATAGCGTATAGGACTGTAATAAATTTTCAACATCATAGGGTGACATATAGATCGGTAATAATTTTTACCAACATAAAATGAAGTATAAAATTGTAGTAATTTGCAATCAAATCAAATTTGGGGATCAAAGTAGTAATTTTCTCTATCAGATAGTAGACATTTCTCATTCAGTTAGATATTGTTGTAATTGTTGGACCAGACTTTATTGTATAACTCTGAAACATTTCAACCAGAAGTTATATTTTCGACTGGCACCTTTTAAATAGCAAATTTTCTTAAAGTTTAATTTAATATTCTTTTTCTTCACAGCCCTCATTCAATTTGACTTTTAAGTTGTTAAAACATTTGGATTGTTATGACCGATTTGCCTAAGAGTTTTTAAAATTTATTTCTTCCACTTAGACTAATGGATATTTTATACTGTTTTAAAAGAAGAAGAAGATTATTATTATTGTTGTTGTTATTGTTGTTGTTGTTGTTTTCTTTAATACCCATTTCTTTCCGGGTCTCAACCAGAGTCCTATGATTAGAAATGTCATCCCGGCATTTT